TACTATATTTTCCTATAATGTGCTATAGGTTTGCTAATTGCTCTGATCAGGTGACTGAGTAATATAACAATAAACACATTACTATCATGTTTTGCATTTCACCACAGTTCTGTATCTATGTGCTACTTAAAATATTATGTCACATAGGGCATATAATGGTAGCATAATAGTGGTGAGCAACATCCAGTTCGAATTATGTTCTAAAAAGCACGTTCTCACTAAACCATACATTTAGGGCAAGGTTTACTTATGCTTAGATCAGATTCAGTGGACTCGGTCCTGCAGGAAAGCAAAGCAAGCGCGGGTCTGCTAGGGGGTCTTAGAGGATGTGACCTAGCTGTGGCTCTGGAAATCCCATTTTAGCTGGGGATGATGTCTGCCACCCTGGGTGCTAACAGAGGTCCATTTTGGCCTTGTAGTCTATGAAAACTTAGCCCTTTTCTTTGTTTTTACACTGTAGTGGTTTGCTCTCTATAAATTGTGCATTTCTCATATAGGTTTTGGTAGATTAATACAAAATCGCATGTAGTAGAGAAAGATTTCAGATATTTGTTTCAGGTTAGCAAATGTCTTAATTATTTCTTGAAAATTCTTTTATTCTGGATGATCGTTTTCCTCATTGGATATGCTATTCCCCCAAGGTTTTTCACATGTCAAAGAAGAGGACTTTTAATGTTTAGATTCAAGAGCCAGAATTTGGTTTCTGTTCTGTTGATGATTTGCTGTGAAACTGAGCATGTCACTAGCATCTTTGTACTTCAGCTTGTATAAATGATACGAAATTATTTTAAAGGTTCATATGATGCTGCGTCAATGTCTTTTGAATTGGTTTGAAAATGTGATTCTAACCCCTTTATTCAACTTAGTTTTTTTGTTTGGGTAGAGTATGCAGTTGTAATCTGTGGCAGGTATTGCTGCTCTCACTGTGCTGATACAGCAGGTGGTATTTGGGGTAAAAATGTCTTATGCTGTATTTCAGATCACAAGTGATTCCATTTTATGGAAATGGGTTCTGCCCTTTTAAAGTCAGCTCAATTGTGAAAGCAGGGAGGGAAGTTTCTTGGTCTTCAAAAGTAATTATATTATTTTATTTAGATTAAACCTGACTTGTGTCATGTGTAAAGTGTTAATAAGTGTGAAAGCATATGGGCTTTGTAACTGTGGAAACAATAGTTTCAAGATAAAATAACCAGTGAATACAGTTCAGGGTATGAATGCATTTGTAGGAGAGTTTTATGAGATACACAGACACAGTGTGCAAATTACTTGTCACTACCTTGACTATCTAGCCATCCTCTGATGAGCTAGCCTACATGTGCCCTCTCACTCCCCAAAACTGACATCAGGTACTTTTTGCCTTTTTTCTGTCCTTGTACTGAAGGTAGAATAAATAAAATGAGTAGGTCAGCCCAGTTCCGCTAGGCACAGAGTGAAAATACATAAAATGAGAAAGGAAAAGCAACAGAGATACTCCTGTATTTTTGGTAGATGCTATTCTACCTGTACAGTGTTTTTTAAGCATCTCCTTTATTAAATCAGAATTTATGCAGATGAATGGAAGGAAAGGTATATGCAGGACATGTATTTTCATGTCTTAAAGAAGTTGAGTAGAGAAAGATAGCAGGCTTAGGAGAATGTCAAAAAGAAAAGATACCTTGCAAAAGTATCAGATTAGTTCAATAAAGAGTTCAAGATAAATTATCACTCCTTTGATCTGTACAAAGGAAAGAGTTGGTTTTCTTTTTTGTTGAAGAGGAGATACCCGAGTATATGGTACAGCTACTTAGGTTATGTAATTTACTTCCTACCTTTTGCATGTGCAGATGTTGTTTGTATCTAAAATGAATACAACTTCAGCCTTTAGTGTGATGTAGGCACTGAGTATATTATTATTAACTACTTTTATCTCTGTCTGGCTCCTATTATACAAGAAATACGTGGCCACATACAAATACTAGCATAACTGCAGGGTTCATATCCTTGTAAAAACAAATGTTCTTGTAAAGACAGAGGTTTGCCCTTTTATCTTCCTACCTGCAATCCCATAAGCAAACATATTTTTATGTTTTTACCATGAAGTGGTTACGTTTTAGTGAAATACCAGATGTTGACCATACTGTTACTAAGATTTGTCACTTCCCGTAAAAACCTCTGGAACTCTTTGGTTTTGCAATAAGTTGAAACTAAGCAGAAACATATTTCATAGATTGGCTTGAACTAGAACCATAAATCGGAACCACCAATATTTCAGATGCAGGTGAATATCCTGTTCCAAATTAGAGTTTTGGCATTGTTTCTTTTCAATTTGGGTCATTCACAATAGCATAAATATTTTTGAAAACAGTAGCTCTTTTTTTTTTTTTTTTTATAGGGTTAATGCACTCCTAAGAGACACAGTTATTCTTTGGAGTGGTAGAGGTGTTTTCCTTAGTGTATGAAGTTTGGAAGTTTTATTTATTTCTAGATGCTATGCTTAACTGACCTTAAAAAAGATTTAAAGTAAACTTGACAGAGTCAGCACACAGTGTGAACTTTATCTTGCAGCTTTTCTTAGAGAATAAATTATTTTTGTGTTTAAAAGTGAATTTTATGTTAATGGAATTGGCTTATATTCATGAGAAGCATTCATCAAACAAAAATGTTTGGCATATGCATGGTGTAAGTGGAAAGGAATTAGACCCTTGAGAGATCAAGGTGGTTTGTCTTAGGAGCTGCTGAATCCACTAGCCTGACAGAGGTGAGGCCGTTGCAGCTCCGTGTCCCTAGGTCCAGCCAGTAGCGAGGCTGAGCGTCTGTTCCCAATAGGCACATGTGCATGCACACACACACTACGTGCACATATATACGTGGTCATCCATGTAGATCAACGCAGAAACCACAGCGCACTCACAAACAGAAACTGCACCAATGGCCTGACTTTGTTTCACCTTTCCGGCTGGTCAGGATGAAACCCCATTTGTGGAATATGTATGCACAAATATACGTATCTACAATATGGATGCCTCCAGTAGGTGGTCTTTGACACTCAGTCTATGTGGATGCTGTTCTCGCATCCCCGGTCTCTGCAGGTGGCAGCACGGGGGCCAGTGAGGCTTGCTCTGGGGCTGGCAGCTCCATTCCAGCTGCTGGTGCTCAGCCCTGCTCCTGCACGCCCACGCACACACGTGCACACGCTATGGATCCTCCTGGTAGCTTCAGACACTCGGTGTATCCAGTAGTTGACCCCTGGCCTCCCAGTGGCCTCACACAGACACAGACGTGCAAATGGGTCTTTCCCGTACCTGGTGCAGATTTATAACCCTACCAGTAGCTGACCCTTGCACCCCAAGAGGCTCCCATGTAGCTGGGACCTCCTGTTGCCTCCAGTAGCCAACTGTCAGGACCTTTGGTCTCACCAGTGTCTGCCTCGGGCTTGTGGCTGCTCCAATACCTGTCTCCCAAGCCCAGCTCGATGCTCGTGAGCAACTACACGCACCGAAACAGACACCCACACAATATGCATGCACCCCACTCTCCGCAGTTTCTGGCAGCACAGGCACGTGCACACCCCTATGACTCATGGTCCCCTTGCCAAGTTGTAGGCACTCAGACCTCCAAATACACACAGAGCCTCCTACCCAGGAGTCAGAAATGGAATTTAAGGAGAAGACAAGGACAGGCTGCAGTGATCGGTGCAGGGCATAGCCAGACAAGCGTCCTGACCAGCAATCTGTTTCTAGTGACCAACCCCTTTTTCCTCTGTGTTTACCAATGTTTTTTCCTTCTCAAACTACTCTGGTCCCTCTTTTCCTGGCCTTTTGTCTTCCCTAAGTATCTCATAATATGTTTTGTGCCATCCCAAAGTGCTCTTCCCCTGAATCCTGTAAGGAGTTCCATGCCCCTGTAGGCAGCTCCCCTTGGACAGTCCTGGGGGCAGCTGGTCAGGGTGCTTAGTTTTCCCCAGTAACGTTATTGAGGTTCCTACCCTGTTACTGTGTTTATGGTGAGGAGCCTTTAATCACATAATTTAGCAGTTTGTATAATGGAAAGGTGGGATCATTTACCTGCTGGCATTAAGTCATTGGTGTCAAAGTGCATTAACACCACCAGTGCTTTGTTAGGGTAATTGTAATGGGACGTACTCAGGTGGTGAGGAAGTTTATCTAAACTGGGAGGTTAAGCTTTTCTGGCAGGAAGATTTTTGCTTGAGTACTAGTACAAGAACCTAAGCCAAAGGATTTAGACATTTATGAGGTGATTGAGACCTTAATGATGCTGCAGCAGAGAATTGTACTTGCAAATGTAGTAAATCAATGGAGTAAGAAACTGTCTATATATTACGGGATACATGTGTATCCCCCACTTTTTACATGTATGAACTAGTGAATTAATTATCAGAGGTTTATCAGAGGGCCATGTTTATAGGGTGTTTTCTTGGGAACTACCCCAGAATGATAGCTTGTCCACTAGACATCGGGATCTGCCACACCAAAGAGATTTCAAGTAACAAAAAAGCAAAGAAATTTATTAAAAGATTTTCCTTTGTGGGAAGTTTCTTTGATTTTTCAGCAAGAAAAAATGCCAACTCCTCATTTTTATTTTTGTGGGGGTTTTTGTCATGATGTCAGTGTGAACTCAGCAAAGTAAAGATTGTTAGAACTCTCACGTAAGCTCTGTGTAACGTGATTGTCCAATGGAAGCCATTGTAGAATACCCTATGTTATTTATAAGTCTTTCTTTACAGTATGGAATTTCATGCTATGGTAAAGAAATGAGTATGACATATTGATTAATTGATTACATGGGACCTATGCAAAACATTTAACTTGAAGTGTATTAGCTTTATATCTAATAGAGAATTAAGAAATCATGAGTGGAAAAAGCACTTTCTCTAAACTGCAGATCACCTTGTTTTACACCATCCTAAGTCATCTGTTCTTCAGGGCTACTGGCTGGTAAAAAAACAATGAAGTAGTCATTCTAATTCAGTTTTAATGGCAATATTTTTATTTTTCTTAAAGGAATTACCTACGGTTCTGCTTATTCATCAGATGGACAAGCATGAAGGTGCATGGACAATATTACCATTAATGAGAGAGTAAGTGTAATGAATGCCAGTTATTTCCAGAATTTTTTGTAACCAAGAATATAAATATTACTTACTCAGACCTCTTTTTTTCAGAAGCAAAGTTTTTGAGAGTTGCAACCTTATCTTTTCACCTTCTTTCTTTCTTTTTTTTTTTTGGTTTTCCAAAGCACTTTTCTGTTAAATTTCATTAAATCAGAGAAAGCTATTTTAAATAAAAGAACAACAATAATATAATGTAACTGAATTACTAGCTTCTTAAAAGTGTTGTGGGTTTTAAAATTGTTAGGGAAGTAAACTAGTCAAAAGAAATGCCATTTTAAAATGTATATTTTCCTATTTGGTCTCCATTTCTCACAGTGTAAGGTGTGAGGTATTTCAGAACTTTTGACCTTTCAGATTACTTGGCTGAATGAAGTGGATGAATATTTTTTTAAAAAATAGATAATAATACCTGTTTGGGGTTTTTATCTTTCATTGCTTACAGTGTGTTCTAAAAGGTAGTGTGCTTCTATAGTGAAAAGGTGTAGGTTTCAACATCTTTTTAGAAGCTTATACGGCCAGTTTTCATCTTAGTATGGTCAGAGAAGACAGGAAATCTGAAATACCTTTTCTTCTTAGCTTATGCTGATGGCTCCAAGGAAGACATGCAGCATTTACATAGTAGTATGTTGCAGACTGTCAGGAAGCAATGATTCTTGTTTCAGAAAGTCCTAAAGCTCCATGGCACTGAAGGCTAACCTTTGCTTAAAACTTGCATTTGAAATTAATGCCAGAGGTTCTGCAGCCTCTTGAGGTTTCATTTAATTGGTATATATTATTAGAGTTACTCAGAAGATGTTTTTGTTTTGGTTTGAGGTTTTTGTATCGGAGTGGTTGCAGGACAGGATGTTTTTCCTTCTGCTTCCCACTGCTTTCTGTGTGTGTAGAAACATGAAAACAGTGCTTGTATAGTAGCTGTCTTTGAGATACACGTAAACCGTGAAAAGAAGCAAAAGGAGAATTAAATTGAAAAACTGGAAGATTATGTTCCAACTATCAATCATCTTTGTTTTTCCTTCTTAGCTCCTGTTTCAATGACCTAGTGGTTCCTTTTCTGAATTATTTATGTCTTGGTGATGGGGTTTACCAATACAGCTCTTACAAGATAACAAAACTCAGAAGCAAAAATACAAGTGCTCATTTGCGTGATAAAGCGGAAGAGAATTCTTCAGAAATCAAAAGAGGAATCTTAAGCAGAGGATTTCCATCTTGAGAATTCTGGGATATGAATTTCTTTCTGTTTACTGTTTCACTTACCACTTTTGGCAGAATGAAGACATGGAGTAGTTCAAAAGTATGTCAATGTTGTGAGGCTTGTACTGTTTAGTTTTCTCAATGGACAGAAGAGGAGGAAGGGAGATCAGCCCATTCTGCAGCAGCTGATGATGCTCAGAATTGTGATATAAGATGCATTCTTATCTGAAAACTGCTTTCAGCAGAATGGCTTTTCTCAGTTCTGTAGTTGTCAGCATTTTTAAGGAGGCCTCTAAACAGTTATCACAATTCTTAATTTTTAGCTCTTGGGCACAGGTTAACTTGGACAAAATACTTCATTTCAGAAGATGTAATCATAAGACATCAATGGATGTCTTATGACACAGTACCCTTACTGTCTCTGGAGGCCCACTACATGTCTTCTCAGTAACAATGTTCATTAAGCAAAGAAGAAATCCCTTTTTAAATTATTACCCTGAAACTGGATCTTGCCTGAGTATCTCCAATGGCTCCTTGCAATATGAACTCCAAATTTGTGTCCTATGAGGTCTACATAAGACTCTCTGCAGGCCTTAAATAGCTGAAAATCATTCTGTTTGTCCATCAATAGCTAGATGAACATCATTCTTTTTGTGAACTTGTATGTGCTGTATTCACAAGATGCAATAATTCTTTTTGTGGGGGTCATTCTAGTGTTTTCTGCATGCCCTTCACCCACCTGCTTTCATGTAAATCCAGGTATTTCTCTCCTAAAGTTCTAGCTGAGCACTAAAGCATGAGAGAAAAGCCTTCATTCTTCACAGGGCATTGAATGTACATATTTAAACACATGAAGCATATCTGATACCCTTTCTGTACTTGTTTGGCAAGTTTTAGAAGGAACAGCTAGGAAGTGTCTTTCCCAGCTGATTGTATCTTGTTCGTTTTCCTGAATGGCAAAGTGTTGCCCAGATTTTGGTGTTTAGTAGGCAACAAGTATATGCTTTTATGAACTAAAAGGATGAATGAGTTCTGGCTATTATAGTTTAGCATATTAGGTATCATAATCAGAAAGCAGTGAATAATCAAAAAAGACACAGAGGAAAGGTAGCTTTATAGGACGATGATTGTTATGGTTTAACCCCAGCCAGCAACTAAGCACCACCCAGCCGCTTGCTTGCTCCCCCGGTGGGATGGGGGAGAGAATTGAAAGGGTAAAAGTGAGAAGACTCATGGGCTCAGATAAAGACAGCTTAATAGGTAAAGCAAAAGCCGTGCATGCAGGCAAAGCAAAACAAGGAATTCATTCCTACTTCCCATGGCCAGGCAGGTGCTCAGCCAGCTCCAGGAAAGCAGAGCTCCATCATGCATAACGGTGACTTGGGAAGCTAAACACCATCACTCCAAATGTTCCCCTGCTTCCTCCTTCTTCCCCCAGCTTTATATGCCGAGCATGACATCATATGGCCAGTTGGGGTCAGCTGTCCTGGCTGTGCCCCCTCCCAGCTTCTTGTGCACCCCCAGCCCACTCACTGGTGGGGGGGAGTGAGAAGCAGAAAAGGTCTTGACTCCATGTAAGCACTGCTCAGCAGTGACAAAAACATCCCTGTGTTATCAGCGCTGTTTCCAGCACAAATCCAAACCATACTAGCTACTGTGGAGAAAATTAACTCTACCCCAGTGAAAACAAGCACAATGACTTGTCCCAGATGAAAAAATACTGAACTAGTTTAGCACCTGGCAACCATCTGGTGCTTCTAGCATGTAATTAAAAGACCTGCAGAGGCAGGTATCACATGTCCTGGCATAAGTATTTCTCAGATAGTGGGTGTGGTTTTTTGGGTGGTGGGTTTTTTTGGGTTTGGGGGTTTTTTTTGTTTTGTTTGTCTAGTTTTGGGTTTTGTTTTTTAAGGCAAATATTGTTCCCTAAAACATAAATGATCCTATCGCCCTTTTTTACTTATTTTTGTGGACTTACGTTTCTGCTGTTCATTTTCATTGCTGATTTTATCAGTAGACAGTGCTGTAGAGGAAGATATCTGTGCTCTCCATAGGTGCTAATTTTCTTATCCCTCTCCTCAGATTTGTTTAATTAAATCAATGTAAAAGCTATGCAAAGGAAACTGGACAAGTAACAATTGGGGGTTTTTGTCCATTAGGATGTCATGAATTAATAAGGCTTTTTTTTTTTTTTATTAAGTAGTGGAAGAATTAAGCTGGGAGGAGTAGAGCAAAAATGAAAGAGAATTTACTGAAGGAGTCCGGAATCCTGCATTGAGATTAGTGTTAGCTTTGAGAAAGGTATGGGAGTACCTTCAGTCTGTGTAGTTTCACTGTACTGAAAAAGCTAATGAAGTTTTTAGGTTGGGGATGATCAGTGTCAAACAGCTGTGAGAAAACCTGTCATTAGGCATTTTCATGATTGTTGCAATGGTGTTAATGCCCAACGGTGGGGCTGCTTAGAAGAAAGTTAAGATACAGAGGAGAAGGTAACTTAAATTGCTGTCTGTAAACTTCTGAATTCATAGGTGGCTATTAGACCTGTAGTACCTATACATTTCTGAATGGACATTCTTCATATATCTCTATTCTCTTCCTTCTGGAGTAACTGGTGCTACATAAATAGATAAGAGCCAAGGCAATATCTTTATCCATTCACTATAGTCCTTTGATATGCAATTCTAAGTTAGTAGTAAAAGTTTCTGTTTCCATGTAAATGAATAATTGATTGCAAAGTACTTGTATTTGGGGACTGTGGGTTGAATCTATCATTCTGTTCATAAGCCAGTTTATTAGTAAAATGTTCATTTCTTTTGTTAGCTTCTCTGTTACCTACAGTAAGAACTCCTCATGGATTTTCTTCTGTGAAGAAGACACAAGAATACAAGTTGTAAAGCTGCTAGAAACACTTGGAAGATTTGACAGGTCTAAGGTGAAATAAAAACTTAGATATTCAACTTTCTTTTGAATGTGCTTGAATGGGTTTTTAGATGAAACGTGGAATCATTTAAGTACAACATTATAAATACAGAATCTTAGAATTCCTAATTATGGAACAGTTTGTGTGGTCCAGAATTTAATTTTATAACACTGCCTGGATGGCTCAGAGCTCCAAACACTGGAGAAGATGTATCCAAACAGCTTAAAACAGGGGGATAGATTTCTGTTGCTGAGGCTAAGAGTGAGCGAGGTATTTAACATAAGGCAGTATAAGCGCCTGTCTAGCTGTTGAAGAACTGTTAAAATTGAGCAGATAAAAGATTCATTCTGCGGATAGCTTGAAAATGATGTAGCATCAGTAAAAAGATGAATATAGTCTGCTCTGTGGTCCCCTCTATGCATTTTCCTGTATATCATCAGTTCTGATTCTCATCAGACAGAACGATTGATGCTAGTTTGACTAACTGGCTCTGATCTAATATAGTAAGGTATTTTATTTGCATTCTGTTTCTGAACTGTCTTGGTGATAAGACAGTTTTCTTTACCTGCTGGAAAAGAAACACCACCAAAAGACTTGCAGAACAAAAGGAAAATACAGTCACCAAGGAGCAAAGTACATTTGGGAATGCAACTGGCATGAAAGCTGTTAATGTTTAGAATTCTCAGTGTTCAGAAAAAAATTCATTGTGATGTCTGTCCTTTTCCTGGAATAAAAGAAGCCAAAATCTCCTGTGCGAAATATGTTTTGCCTCTTTATTGTTACCTTGACTGAATATTGAACTCTGCTTCAGGTCTCACTTTAGCATATATGTACTTCTTTTGCAGGCACATGGCCTTGTTGTGTTTTCTCACAATTCTTTTCTAAAGTGGTAATAATAATAATAATTTAGAGATCTTACATTTTTAAACACACTGTCTTCAAAATGGCTGACTGAACATATTCAGGCCTTTGAAATATCCATTTATTTCTTTCAGAAACACCTACTCCCAACTGATGTTCTCAGAATAGAAACAAAATTTTTCGTGCTAGATGCTGCCCTTACGCCAGTTTTAATCTCTCCTTTGTGTTACATGTAAATTCTATTACAATAACATATTGTTTTAACCTGCATTAAAAGGAAAGTAAAATGTTTTGCTTTCGTATGTAGTAATCATCATCTTAGCATAACAGTCTATAACTGATTCCTTATATACAGTAGTAGGCCATCAGTCACAAAATTTAAGATGAGCTAGACCAGAATGAGCTCATTCATTATTCATTTTAAAATGTCAGCAGTCTGCATAATGAAAAGCTGGTATACATTAATCACAATAAAAGGTCTACAAGGGGTGTGTGAACAGTTGATGAATCTGCAGCTTTTCAATCTGGGTATGTAGGGCTTAGGAACAGAACTTTTGAGACTGAAATGAATGTAATATTGAGTGAAAACAGATGTGTGAAAGCATCATAAGAGACTGTAGAGGAACGTTAAGAGAATGACCTGCATTGATAACCAAGGACATCATTGACTGCAGTAAAACTGAAAATCAGGGAGGAATATCTCATTTACATAAAGACCTCAAGGCAAGCACTCAGATGGTGAATTATATCTGAACATCAGGAAACACTTTTTTACTGTGAGGGTGACCAAGCATTGTAACAGGTTGCCCAAAGAGGTTGTGGAGTCTCCATCCTTGGAGATAACTCACAAGCCATCTGGACATGGTCCCAGGGGAAGTTAGACCAGATGATCCCCAGAGCTCCCTTTCAACCTCAACCCCCCTCTGTGATTCTGTTTCAACAGCAGATTGATTCAGCCTGTCCTTTCATAATGGAAGATGGCAGCAAGGTTAAACCAAACTGTATGTGCCACTTCTCTTCCTGTCATCCTAGCAGGATGATACACTACAGCCCCAGAGATATCCAGAATGAGTAAACCAAGCTGATGGGCAGCAATGACTTAGTAGCTGTTGATACCTAAAGGGTATAAAAGACCTGCCTAAAGAACAGTTCGTTTTTGAGAATCATAGGAACTCATAAGATGTTGTAGTAAGACACAGTGAGGATGTGACAGCTGAAATCTCCTGTCCTCTGTGTCAGACACAGGTCTTGAACAGCTTAATTCAGCGCTCTTGTCTTGGTATTTGTAAGTGGGCACAAAAGTGAGTGGGTAGAATCAACTTCATTAGCAAGTTGGGTAAAGTCACCTCTGCCCTCCCTGAGGTCTGGTATTGACTTTTGTTGCATCACGCTCCTTCAGATATTGAAGTGTTCTAAAGACTTTGCAGTGCTTTTACTAAAAGTAGGTGATTTTTGCCATTTTTGAAGCACAATATATTAACTGATCTGGTGGATAGTAGTTATCCATAATGCAATAAATCACATTCTTTTTTTTTAATCCACATTTTTGCCTATATGCAATTTGATTACCATCATTCCTTCAGTTACTTTATAAGTTCCTTCGCACATAACTAATTTAATCTTGTAAAGCCAGCCTGCACAAATTGACTTGTCCTACGTATCAGTGTAGTAAATAAACAATGTTACGACCAAATAAGCTTGGAGAGTATTGGCTGTAACCTGGAATGCCTTCACTGTGATTTGTGGCTTAATATTGCCAGAAATAATATTACTTGAAAGCCTGAGGAGGGTATATGTATGGCTTTAATTTTCTGTGTTTTATAGAGAAAGGAAAGTAAGGTTGGGTTTTTTTAATCCATAGATTGTTTTGGTGTAAAAATTAGGATTAGGATAAGTAAAGATATATATTTTTTTTCCACTGTAGTGTAACAAAGTACAGATCCGGAAAAAATTGTCTGCAGATGGTACTGTCATATTAAAATGTTAATATTTATTAATGATGTCTGAAACAGAATAATTTGCTTGTGTTGTGAATATTTTGATGCCTTAGAGGCCCTAGAAGAGTTAAAAAATGGTGTGCACAAATGCTTCTAATGATTATTTTGATTCTTTCAAGGTAGTTATCTTTGTGCATAAAAATTAGTATGTTTGCCCATTTTCTTTTACCTCCCGATATTTTTTTTTGTTTTTTAATCCTTCCAGTGAACACTACTGAATCTTTCCCATAAAGGAAGGAGAAACCAGGGTCTGTTGTGATTGAACGTACAAACCAAAGGCTGAGTAAGTAGGTACGAGGTAGAAACTCCTATGAAGGTGGTTAAAAAAATGGTGGAAAAAAATCTCCACCCTTACCTTCTCCATATATTGGGTAGTGCCAGTTTAACTTTGGCTGTCTCCTCAGCAGATTCCTGAACACCTACCTCTCAGCCTCAGGAGGCACAAATGGGATTAGAGGAGCCACAAGTTTTCAGCTTCTGTGTTACCTGAAGAAGTCACTAGTCAAGTATGGGACATACTTGATTTAGTTTTATTGAGAGTAGCTGGTCAAAGTAGAGGGAAGACGTGCAGAATTTATGGCGAACTCACTCAGCGCCTCACACACGTATGCATACATATGCATACCTGATTGCATTTGCATCAGACCTTTGGAGAGTCAGTGTTCCTGGCAGGGGTGGCATCCCATATCTTTGACTCATGGTTGCTTATATGGGTCCTGGCCATCCTTGTAGAGGTGAGGTTCTTGAAGCAGATAGCACCCCATAGCTTTGACTCAGTGTGTGTGGCAAGACAACATCCCCAGTAGCTCCTGAGAGCTGCCCTTTTATTGCCTTTTGGGGAGCCAGGTTGAGTCCTTGTGGGAAGCGGGGTGGGGGGGTTGCCAGGCTGAATGTCCCCTGGGGCAGCCACGCTTGCATACTCCTGCCAGGCTCAGCCAGCTGGTTTTGGCTGGAGGTGACTCCTGGTGCATGCAGAGCTCTCTTCTGCTGTTTGCTGCTTCTGCTGCACCCTGGCCAAATCTCACTCGTTGCTCCTCATCGTCTCTGGGGAGCCATAAAATTTAGCTCCGTCTGTACAGCAACACCTGCTTGGAGTTAAGAGATGGCTACTGAGACGCAAGATACTCTTGGGGTTAGACAGGGTGGGGGTTTTTTTGATGTTTCTACAGAACTTTTGCTTGAATATTTTTCCCTTTTGTCTTGAATTTTGTGTAAATTATTTATTTACCTTGTGTGAAGTGTGTGAACTGTGCTAATGCCTTGAAGGAATGTTTCATCATTGCAGATAGCTGCCCCTTTGAAGGAGGGGTAAAATCAAATATGGCAGGGAGTATGGAGAAAGAGAATCTTTCATGAAGAAACAGTTGCCCTAACTTTGAATCTATTTTAATGATGAATTGCCAGGAATTGATAAATCGTCAGGAAAAAGAAAAGCCTGAGTTACTCTCATAATGCAAAGAACTTCACACTTTAAAGATTTAATATAACCATTCAGGTGATTCAGAATTCTGATTTGTTTGTACTTGTAGGCCTGAAAATAAGTTTAGGGTTTTTTTTTTTTAAATTATGTATGCACACATATTCTTTTTTCCCCTTCATTACAGTCCTGATTCTGCAAAAATTTGGGGGTATACTTGTTTTATATCTATTCTAAACATAAAGATTAAGACAGCTGACAGTAATGTTAAAAAAGTAGTATCTAAGTCTGTTAATTATTTTCAGATACAGCAGAGTCAGTAGCAAATTCTTAAACACTGTTATTTAAAACTGTAATAATACTACTACTACTTTTTACTTTGCAAATGCATATTTGGGTCCTTCTTCATTTAGCTGTTTTGAAGATCAAGGTATTTAAAATGTATTTGCTTTTTAAGTTCACTAGTGCAAAAGCGGCTAGACAGATGGAAATTCAAAATGGATATATATAAAGTTCCTGAATGCACTGCTTCTGCATGTCTTGTCTAGTCAGTAGCCAGTTTGGGTGGTCAAACACTGGAACAGGTTGCCCAGAGAAGTTGTGGAGTGTATTCAAAACATGACTGGACAGAGACCTGGGCAACCTGCTCTGGCTGACCCTGCTTGAGCAGGGGGATTGGACTAGACGATCTCGGGAGGCTTCTTCCAACCTCAGTCCTTCTATGATTCTGGGATTCAGTGCCCTTTGAACGGGTGGAATCCAGGGCATATGCTGGAGTTTGAAAGTACAGTGTGTGTTTGAATTCAGAGAACTGCCTGTAGTTTCACTGCTTACCAAGTACGATTTTTGTCTGGATTATTGTGAACAATATGCTTCCCTTGTTTTTATTTTCAGGTTTGCTTTATTCAGCATGAATGCAGTCTCACCTCCACTAAAAGGATGCTGTAGATGAACAAAATTGTTTCCTATATTCCTTTACAGGAGTGGTTTTTAGGTAAAGCATTATATGATGAAGAATCTACAATAATTCACCATTATGCCTTTGCTGAAAATCCTACAGTCTTTAAATTTCCAGATTTTGCGGCTGGTTGGGCACTTAGCATTCCACTTGTTAACAAGTAAGAATTGACTTTTTAATCACTTCTTGTTTATTGATATTAATTCAGAATGTTTAATTGATACAAATTTTCTAGATGCTAATCAGTATTATTTTAATGAGTTATGATTTCATATGGATTAAAATTTTCTATTAAAAAGGAAGGTGTTCCCTCAATACTGTTCAAGGTCATATTGCAGATCATATAGATATGCAAAGTCAAATTTTAATTTTGAGCTGTCTTTGAATTGAAGCTGCTGATTGCAGCTTAGCTATGGCAGACAGTTTGGGATGTACTCAACCAGTGCAGGTTGGCCTCTCAAGGATTTGACTTAAGAGCCTACACTGAGCTTTTGCTGCTACCACCTGTATTATCAGCATCCATGCTGGTACATGTAAGCCTGCTTTAGTTTGAGGATCTAAGTTGCGTAGCAAGATATTCAACCAGGCACAGTGATGTAGAACTAGCTCTGGGTATGCCTATCTAGACTTGTGCTCCCACTATAAACTTAACCAGAAAATACTCCTTTGATAAAATTCCATTTCTTCCTTATTCTACACATTCCAAGCTTAGTTATTATAAATAAACATTTAATTCATTAGTAGACAAGGGTACAGAAATAGATTTCTGTGTCATTGTTGTGTGTGTGATTTATTTTGCTTCACTCTGCCTATCTAAGAGTTAATGTCATGTCAGCTAGTTAATAGTTGTCCAGTACTAGTCGTTCAACTAGTTCAATGCCATCTCTTGTCATTTTAAAAATGTATTTCCCCCAGACAGCAGTTTTATTCCTGGATCTTAGAGTGACTGCATTGCCCTCTAGCAGTGTTTCTCATGCTCTAGAGGCAACCTAGATGTTTATTTCAGATTAGATGCTTGGTTTTTAAACGAGATTTGAAAAGTTCATAGATTTCAGAAGTTGAATGCATCTTGCTGTAGCAAGGATTGATGTTTCCATAAATTGAAAGCACCTAAATACTGTGCTTTGGAATATACAAAAAGAGAACATTGTCTGAAGTTTGAGATGCTGATGAATATTGAGCTTCAAAGGCACTGCTGTTTTTAATCTGTTGAAAATGTTATGCCAGACTCTCCCTCTACTCCAGATGAGTACTTTCTTCTTGGGCAGGAAGAATGTATGAAAATGTGTGTGCTGAAAACTAATATTAACATCCATCACACTGTGCTCAGATGAAAAGAAAAAAAAAGATATGAAAAAGAAATACAAGTTGCTTCTTGGGGCAATACGTACAGAAGTGTGATTTATCTTTTCCCCTTATAAGATGGTTAATAATACCAGCCACACTTTGCTGCATACACTAGTGACTGATTTTTTTTTCTAATGTTTTTTGAGTAAATTTCTTCATCTTTAATTGTATAGGCTTGCAAAGAAGTTGAAAAGTGAACCACTCAAGTCGGACTTTACAATAGATTTAAAGCATGAGGTAAGCAGTGATGTGGTGAAAGAAAAAATTGTCTGAAATCTATATGTTTGAATTGGTGATAAATGGTAATGGAAATAACAAATTTTTCTTAGACGTTGCTAAGAAGTGTGACTGCAATGGCATGTTTAATTTCTTTCCCTTCTTTTAGAATATGCTAATACTTTAAAACTCAGTTTCAAGCATAGAAGAATTAATGAATAGAATCACATTCATATATGAATACATACATGGTTGTATACAGCAACGTATCTTCTAAGGCTTGGTCTATAAAGGAGAGAGCCTTCCAATCCATGAAGCTTAAGCTGACATGAATAGTATCATGTCAGCCTCACTCACATTCTAAATGAGACTCTAAGAGCTAGATATGATGAACTTCGTTTCCTCAAGCTATTTAAACCAAACTGTTGTGTGAACAATTAACTCTGCAACTTGCAGCATGGAAGTCTGGAATTATTTTTAATTTTTGCCTCTGGTTTGCAACAGTTTTAAAAGACAGCCACTAAGTCTTTAAGAGAATAAGTGAGTTGACTGAAAGGAATATGAGAAGAAAGGAGTGGGGCGATCTGAAAGAAGATCAGTGCTACCTTTTCTGAAGCTTTTTTATTTTTTCTGCCTTCAAAATGTTTGCGCAGCCCAGGGTTTTCTACTGTCACCAAAGTGAACTCCTGAACCAGGGTGGAAAGGGAGGAAGAATTTGGAATAAGCTTGCTGATTTTGGCATGAAATCGAGTGATGTTGAATTAATTTTAATTTTTTTAAACTCCTGAAAGTCAGCTATGAATTGTGGACTGACCCAGAAAAAAACCCCACCTTACTTAAAACTACTGCTGTTCCAGATCTTTATTCTGTAATGGTTATAAACCTCCTCATTTTCAACATAAATCTACAGTGTATTTGTAGAGTATAAATTGGTAGCATTTTTAAATTATTTGGTTTTGTGCCAACACTATTCTTTCACATAGTTTCCCCTCCTTGACTGATGTATTTCTCAAAAGCAATTGGACCCTTCTCAGTTTCCATTTTGCTATGTGAAACAAGCCAAGAAGTGGTTTCTTTCCTCTTGTTAATGTTTCTAAATGCAAGATCTTGGGCTTCACACTGTTAATCTTCTTTTTGTAAGCTACCTCAAAGTCATTTGTATATTCCTATATTCCAGTCTACCTCAGCACTGACAAAGCCTCTAAACATAGTGTCATTAAAAAAAAAAAATCATTAGCAGATATTTTTCATGTGCCACAGATTGCTTAATGAAAAACAATTGATCACTCGACTGGCAAAATGACTTCCATCCACTTCTTATTCTGTTAGCAGTTCTTTGCATATGTTTCGTATCAAATTTATTGCCATTGATAACCTACTTCAGCCCTGTAGTTATTCTTTCTGCACAGTCTCATGTCGCCCTAGAGACAGTTCCATTCCCCCTCATTTATTTTATAAATTGCCATCTTCTCCTTCTTAAATCATTTTTATCTCCATGTCCTACTTGTGTGAATCAAGATTGACAACAAGTCAAAGGATATAATCTGTGATCTTTAATCATTGTGTGTAATGTTTAAGTTTATGAAGGATGATAAATGTTTTAAGAAATGTTTTAGTTTGACAGAGTCCTTGTAACACGTGCCTCTAGTCCTTGGTATTTGATTGTGCTCTGTATCAGGTTTTTTATACCCTACTACTTTCCAAGTCTCTATTTCTTATATCCGTAACATTTATATAATTTTCCATCTGGAAGGCCTATCTTGCAAATATGGTGAAGGGTTTTTCCTGCTGCTGCTCACTTGTAGATTGTTTTTTAGACTTTTTGTAACTGCACAATGTATAGTATATTCCCTGATGCTTATTCAAAACTGGAAGTGAATAATGGATTTTTTTTGTATATCTAACATTAGATTTTAACTAAGGTTAAAAATATTTTTTGCCTTTTTATTGTAAATCCATTTCCACTGTTATAGGAACAGTCTATCATCCTGTTTTATAACCCAAAATGGCACTGTAACCTTACTTCTAAATTATGATAGCTTCATACCATTCTAAGGCTTTCTGTTGAAGGTTTCATTATTGAGTGGGAAATCTTAGCTCATTATGAACTTTCATAAATAATTCATGTTAAGTTACAGTTGTTAAATATTCTTTGTGCTGCAGGAGCTTTCCTTCTTTGTTGGTTCATGTGATAGACATTAATTCTGAATAGCTGAATTTTGAATGAATGTCATTTAAAAAGTACCAGAAGCTCTTTAGAAATCCCATACCTTGCTGTTACATAGTCTTCCAGCTATAAGGCAGGGTCAAGAACCACTTATATCCCATAATGTGAATGTGGTGGTGAGGCAAAAAGGTAGCCTTGGAGGTGTATGTGTGCTTATTGGCTGCTCCTCACCATGAACATGTATGTTACATGTCATTTCCATACTCCTCCTCTACTCCAAGCACTATCAACAGTATTTGTCTTAACTGCCACTCATGCTTATGCATTTTCTTCCTTACAGAGTGGCCTTTCCCTTTAGTACTGTGTTGAATCATAATGCTAAGATCATCTGTGTTTTCAGAAGCATTGCTAAAACAGCAAAGAAACAGACCACTTAATAATGGTGAGGCTAAGAGAAATCAGAACTTGCAAACTACAAAACTCATCATTGTACTGAAAGAACCCACAGCTGAGTCACAGTGGCTTAGCAAGTCACTACAGCTGAGCAGTAGTAGCAACCATGTTTGTACTCACAGCTCCCAGTCATCTGCATCTGCTCAGTTGCAAGGAAAAATACAATAATTTAAACTGTTCTCAGTGCAATCAAACTAAATGCTTTTACTTTGCAGTTGAGGTGGTCTAAGAGTGCACATGTAGTTATGACAGCCCAGTTACAATCAGCAACTTACTAGAAGTCATCAGTTAATTGTGTTCTAGTATGTTTGCTATCAAAAATCTTTCAAATCTGGAAGCTTAAGTTTCAAAAATATTATTGTGTTCTCAAGCCTGCCCTCAGTCCTAACAGGACCTGTTGCAGACTTTCTATTTTCCCTTCTAAATTCCAGAAATAGCTGCGTGCAGGTAGTTGGGATTTTCTGAGGATGTTGAGACCTGAATGAGATGGACTGGAAAATAGTCACCTATAGCTCAGAAGTCTGTAACTGGTTTGGTGATTTGAGCTTGTCCAGACCATACTTAATGTTGCATTGAGTTCTTCCTGAATGCTGAGGAGAAGGAAATATTTTGCCCTCATAATAATAGCTTAATGAACACTTTATTTGCTAAAAGAGGAGCTGAATTCTGGCCCGGGGCAGGGGTGTCATTTAAAGCTAACAGTTCCAAAGTAGGCATAAAACAGTGAAAAGGAGACTCATTTTCATTGCCTTTAGTGTGTGCTGGGTCTGGTCCCATATTCCAGTGAAGCACTTAACTTGTTTTCAATGCAAGAGTCAGTGTAAATAACATGGAAAACAGGAACTAGAACCCAAGACTGATTTTCCACTCTTGGGGGAGTCCCATTCTCTTCTTGGTTCCATGAATCTTACTTTTCGCACATTAACTCGGTTTCATGAGGTAGCATGGAGAGTCTCTGTCCCAGAGTATCTATGGTTTGTTGGTGTATCTATGGTTTGTTGGTGTAGGCACCCTTTTGAAAACTAGAAGCTGTAACTTCTGACTGAGGCAGAAGCAGACCTAGAACCCAGATCTCCTACATCTTGAATATATTCTCAAACAGCTCTTGTCCAAAGACACTTTCACATCTTTGGCCTGTCCTCAAGAAACACTAAGCATCTGGAATTGGGAATGTATGGCAGTGCAGCTGGGAAGCTCTGAATCCACATACTTACTGAGATATTATTTTCTGCCTTTTAGATTTTTAAGAACTTCATTTTGTTCTTACAAGTTTCTGAACAGTTTTATATAAAATTAAGTTAATCTTTTAACTGGTCCAAGGCAGGTGCCCAGCGTAGAACTTTCCTGCTTGAATACAAAGTTATAAGCAGTGTAAAAGTATTGCAATAGAAATTTTGGGCAAGTCTAAGTGTTCTTGATGTGCCATGAAATACAGATTGAAATATTATTTTTATTGTGTACTGAATATAAATACAAAGATGTTTGGGGTTTTTTTATCTTGTTCAGACATCACTGGTTTGCTTCTTCCTTTTTTCTCTGTAAATTTTGACTGGCTTTTTTTTGTTGTTGTTGCATTTAAAATGGACAAGAATCTACTATAGGATAGCATATCTATTACATTATCCTTCATTGTATTTTACAGTGTCTCAGATTTTCATTACTGATTTCAAGCATTTTAAATTGTCACCAGAGAATGGGTCTATTTTGAAAAGCTGTAATTTGCCACATAGGATGAAACAGGCCTAGCTATTCTAAATTATCAAAATAATTGAAAAAGAGCAACACAATAAGGATTTTTGTTTACTTTAAAAGAAGATGTAAATATTCACTCTACCACTTCTCATAAAAGTTAAAGAGTTGTTTTGACATGCTTAAATATATGAAACTAATTGTAATTCTAGGAAACAAATTTTAAAACTTGTCTGCCTACAGAATTTCTTTTATAGGAAATAAATTACATGTTGGCTCTAGAAATGTGAGCAAGAACTAAGGTATGCAGCTGATTAATCAACTGACAGAGAAATCTTCTACAGAATCCCCTGTTTTTCAGTTTTCCTGTTGTTTGTCCTGTAATATGATACCTTTTTATGCCATGAGAATTTTTAGCCAGTTTAATTGCTGATATAAATGTTTTCTATTTTGATAGATTGCCCTGTATATTTGGCAGAAAGGGGAAGGACCACATCTTACGCCAGTGCCTGAGTTCTGCACAGATGATGTGAACTTGTATAAGGTTGATCATTGTGCAACAACATTCAGTAATTTTCTGCCACTTTGTGTAAGTACCATATTTTAAATGCCACCTGCTTAGTAAAGGTAAAACTCTTACTAAATGCATAATACTTGACTTTAAAAATATCAAATCTTAAGAAAATATTTTTCAGTAAGTATAAAAAAAAAGTTTGTTCTGACATTTATCTATTTTTGGATATGCTTTCAGCCTTCTGTGGCACAGGGTATTTCCTGGCAAACAAATATCGCATATGCTTTAATGGGTCTTTCTACCACAGTGTTTGAGCAGCCCATAATCTATAAAGTATTTCTTCTTACATTTCTGTGAGATATTGAAGTACAGATAATCTTTTTTTTCACATATAGGAATCTAAAACTTGTTGAGGGTAAGGACAAGATGTAATGTAGTATTTGGTGCATTAAAGTACCACCCACCTCTTCCACATCTAGGAGAATACATTTATGATATTATGGGTTAACTTGCTAGAGGCCAAAAAGTGTTCCATGATTCTAGGAGAGCAAATTCTAGTTGCCAGAAAGGAAAACAAATCAAAGTGGTTAAATGATTTTATTACAGTTGAGGAAATTCAAGGATTTCTAATGCATAGCACTTAAGCTTCTTTTTCCAAGTATGATACAGTTCAACATGTTCTCATAGTGATTAATTTCAAAGAAATTAAGAAAACATTCCTTTTCAGATGAATCATTCTTAGTTCAGCAAGTTCTACTACCATTCTCTTTTCCTAAAGATATGTGTTTTAGTTCACATTAGAATACTACACCAATGGAAAAAGTATTTCAATAATGTTATTTCAGGAATTTTAAACCACTAATGACCTTTTTTCAAGAGATAAAAATGTACTTTCTAGTGTACGACTAGTACAGTATTCTACTTGATATGCTACACAATGAAAAGGTATTTTCTGTTTAACTATATGTATGGCCATACACACAGTATAAAATGTTGCAGGCAGAACCTGCAATTAAAAATTCATTTTTGTTCTGTTCATATAGGGAGAGCCAGTGAAAAAGGAAGATGTTTTTGTTGCTGTAAAAACATGTCGGAAATTTCATGGTGACAGAAGTAAGTTGTTGGTTAGTCAAGGTAGTAGTACTATGCAATATAGTTTATGAAATTAATATTTTTTTAAAAGCTGATGTATGGTGTCTGTGTAGCTCTGGGACTAAATATTTGCAGAATGCACTGGGAAGCATGAAAGTTTCAGAATTGTAAATGGCTTCTTTGTTAGGTAAAATATTTTTTGCTACTCAGAGTTCTTCAGGAGTGCTGTGAAATGTTTAAGACAGATAGTTGTGATTGGTTGATGTTTCATTAGTGATTGGTTGGCAAAAATCTTGAAACTGAATATCAGAATGAAAAATATGCATGAAGTTAGCTTCTATTGAGGTAAACTGGAGCTGTCGCAATAATAATTAATATAGCAGCTATTAATATCCTTCAGTGTGTTTCCTCCAGATAATTGGTTCAGTTCTATTCCTTGTACTAGCGGTGACAATTGTGCAGCTGTATTTAGAAGTTTGAGCAAGCTGAAAGCTCTCTCTTCTCTTCCTTCCTTTTGTCCTGCCCTCCCACCCAATAAAAGATTGAGCAGCTTACACTGTCATATTACCTTTATCTGTTGTCACCCTATGCAATTGGATGTGCACAGGTGTTTTATGATGCTTGGAATGGGAAGTTTTGTCTCTAGTAGAAATCTGGTAAGCTGTAATACTTTGTCCAAGCCATGGCCCAGATCAGGAGTCTCCAAGCATGCAACACTACAGTGTGTTTCATCTGGAAATTGTAGTGTTGTACAAGTATGAAAGTCACCATGAAAATATGACCGTGATATCCATGATAAAAACAACAAACAAAAAACCCTAGCACAGCCCAACAAGATAAGTCCAGTGAGTATTAACTTCCTTCTCAGTGGTACGGAAAATAAAGATGCGGAGAGACACTCAGCTTCAGCTAATGCACAGTAAGGCTCAGCTAAGTTGAGGTAGATCCAGTGTTTACAAAACTTGGAAGGAAAAATTCCAAATCCCTTGATTTAACAGAAGACACTCTAGCTACTTGATGCCACCTACCAGTCCATTTGAGTTTACTTGTAGACATTTTGTTAATAAGGAAATTCAGGAATAGATGTATTTCCAGGAATTTACTTGAATTTTTTGTGCCCTTGAATACTCCAGGTACATAATACTGTTGCCATTAGGCTTACTTTGTTCATAAGCTTAATTTAAAGTGTTTATTATTGGCAAAATATTGAAAATTAAGTAATGGCTAGCAGTTGTACCAAATTTTGTGGGGGTTTTGCCATGCCTATTGTTACAGGACAGGATGAAGATAAAAGCTCTTTGCTTGACCAAATCCCTCTTTGCTAATGCATCCAAAACTGTAGGTTCTGTCACTTCTGTCACTTCACTGACTATTTGCCAGTTGTTGGCTTGCAGATTTTTTCAAAATAAGATTTATGTAATTTTTTTCTTAATATTACTGCATTTGATGAAGGCACATTTCCAGTATATTAATCACCTAATCATTAGGATATCTGAAGCAAGTAGCTTTTGACAAAACAAAATTGACTATCCTGTAATTGGAGTTCACTGAAGAGTTCTCCTTTCTGGATCCATGTTTATTTTCTTACATCAAAATTAAAATTAAAAAATCCCCCAAATCTAGAAAGTCAGTAAAGAACATAAGGCTTCAAGAAGGTAGAATAAACATCCTTCAAGAAACACCTGTTGAAGACCGAGGAAAATTCTTGAACTTTCCTCACAGCTTCCAGTGTTATGCAATAGAGGATAATCTCACTCAAGATTTTGAAAGATTAATGGATGCCAGCTTCAGAGAGCTCCTTTTACCTGGTAAGTCATTTTATATTGTATGCCAGAAACTACATCAGTGCAGCATTAAGGCTTAGAATTCAATGTGCAAAAGCTGCTAAATTTTACTTCAGAACTTATTCAGCTATAAATCTCCTTCATACATATACTGTATATGGATATATAAGAAAATTTCAAGACTGCAAACATGCATCACGGTTCTAGAAGTAGCACAAATAAAATACAATTAAGAGCTTAGAGCTGACCTTCAGCAAGTATCACTGTAGTGCCATATTAAAAATTCCGTATGGTCACAAGTATTAATACATATTGATAAATATTTGAATTAGCAGCTAGCTGGAAATTTCAAATACTTGTTCTTTCTTTGGAACATATGAGTTGTTAGAAATTACGAAGTACTGTGGGATTCAGTTTCCAATAGACAGTAGTCTGGATGGTAACACTTCCATCAAAAGAAGCAAGGAAAGGAGAAAGACGCTTCAGCTAGTGGCCCCCTTGTTAGACCACTTAACTGAGGTGGGTCTCAGGTCCTTGCTTCAGTGAACCTTTTTCATGTATACGAAAAAGGGGGACTCTACTGAAGAAATTGAGGCTCGGTCTGTAATAGCAAATAGTTCTGTATGTTAAAGCATCCTATTGAGATTGAGGTCCTTGGTTGGAGAAAGGTGAAACAGCCTTTACAGGTGCGTCCCTTCTGCCCGGTGAAGGTTGGAAACATTTTGTATATCTGTGATGCTTCTGTACTGGGGCCTTTCTGCAAGCTTTCTGATTTTGTTCTTCTGAGAAACACTTTTGAAGTAGAACATTTCCACAAAGTAAGAAAATAATTTCCTGCCTACTTGTTTTTTTATTATTCTATTTGAAAAAAAGAAAAGTTTACGTGGCATTCTCTGTCAATTAATGCATGATTATGCAGTTGTTATATGATGTAGTGTGCCTGTTTAGTACATAGGAGGTAGAGTTAATGTATTGCAAAATCCCTGGCTTTGCATTTCAAAACTCCACTGTCATGTTATATGAACATATATGTGATATTATATGAACATATTTTTTGTACCCTTTGGATTTTTTAATGCAAAAATTTGAGCGCAGTTTTAAGTGTCTACAACTTTTAAAAGCAGTATTGAACATTGCACAATGCTACAGAGGTGGAATTATATTTTTTTCCAAATATTAAAGCCTTTCCATTAGTGCATTGAGTTCTTATTACTTTATCCTAACAGTCAACTTTCAATTCATTTTAGTCTTATCAAACTGACTACTGGTCATTCAAGAACAATAAATCCTACAAGTCTCTGTGCTATCAGAGCAGAGGAAAGTGAGCAACTGGGTAGGCAGCAAACATCGACTTAGGTGATGGACAATTACAGCGAGGGGCTAAAATGAGTTGTTCACAAGCATCAGAGTTATATAGCAACAATGGGAAGTTATGTGAATATGATTTTAATCTCATTGTTCTCTCCCAAACACCCTGCAGGTGTTTGACTTTTTTTTGTGTTACCCGTGATTTATTCACTTCTGGATGTAATTTAAGCATTTGTAGCATCATTTTTAGAATTCGGTATGATCAATTCTAAATGCTTATGTCAAATGGCAAACTAATAAGAAAAGGATTGCTCTTGTAAAGAAGCATTAAAAAGTCCTCCTTTGAAAAGAATCTCCATGGGATAAAAATTGGTTGCATGATATTTATAAATGTCCTTCTGTGAATGTGTCTCCAGGGACAGGTGCTTGTGAGCATTAACAGGACGCTGCTGTCAGATATGACATACATATATATAACACAAGCATAGTATTTCAAAAGCTACATTTGGTCTGTTTCTGACTTAGAATATTTTACATGCTGTACGGTTGGATGTGCTGTTTTTAAAATGCAACAGTTTCAATACTGGAAGAATGATTTCTGATAGGGTTCATGCTGATGTGTGCGATAAAGTCTACCATAGAAAGTGTAAAAGTAATGAATTCCATACCTGGGTTAGCATAAATGTAAACATCACAGTTTTCAATGTAATATGAATTAAACTATAGTTGTATTTTAAAAGAAAATTTATTACTATATAAGTAGAACTGCCCTGACTGGCTTTCATAACAATGTAAAATTGTTTCTCTCTAAATATTGTAGGAAAAAAAAAAAGAACATTTAGAACCATGATGCTGTATTTGAAACAGCATTTTCATTCCCATGCAAAGGAATGTATTGCTTAAAAGGTACATAAATATTTTGATCAAGTACTTATTTTAATCAAGTTACTTATGCAGCAATGCAAATGATTGTTTTGCAGTACCAGTTGTAAAGCAGACTTGGGAAAGAGAAGCTGCCCTTATTGAATACTACAGTGATTATGCAGACATCTCCATTCCTACTATAGATTTAGGCATACCTAATACCGACAGAGGTGAGCTCTTGACTGTTGTCAGTTTTGTGTAAATTACTGTCTAAAGATGGTAAGTTTTATGGATGATACATGTATTTCATGTATATCATTTAGGAGTTCTGTATTTCTATAGCATGTTTGTGCAGCCTAAACTGAAAGAATGATTTTGCCACACAGGAGGTGGATGGAGAGTACAGTTCACCTATGTAGGTGGAATGTTCTTTTTAGCAGAAACTTAAATACTGTGAGTATGAAAGCATGGCACACTGATATACTCCAAGAGACAAAAATTGGTGTTATTACTCTGGGTAAGAGTAATAACTCTTTGAGTTATTGACAATCTTGACTCAAGATTGCCAGTGGTAGCAGAAGTCACAGATTTATGTCCAAAGACCTCAAGACAATGCTGGCTGGTTACTGAGCATAAACTACTTGCCACATGATGTTCAAATATTATATGCTTGTGCCTAGTATGTCTTGATTTAAGCAGAAAAACTAAATGTTAGGATTGGAAGATCTTCTTATGGCAAATAATGTGTTTTTAAAGTCATTTACTTCGTGTTTGAATAGAAAAAAAGGCTGTGGATATGATGGCTTCCATGCATTTATTAATTTTAGGGCATTTTCTTTCATTTGATCTGTTGTTCTTAGGCTTGTAGTCTCTGCTACAGGCTATTACTCGCCTTCTGAGTTAGAAGTGTCCAAGCTGTGGCCTATGAGCTTTATCTGGCCCTCCAGGTCAGTTGTTCTGATCTCTGGCTTATTTCTAGCTTTCTAGCTGCCCTTTTTTTTGTCCTCCACATGGTCTGTTAGAGGCAGAGAGAGAAGAGGCAGGGATTTCCGTTTGCACAGGTGCAGTGTGACATGTGCAACGAGTGACCACTTTCAGGAGGTAGCAGACCTGCTGGGCACGTGTGGATCATCTGTAGAAGCTGTGCCCAGCAGTTCTAATCAGGGGGAAGGGAACTTCCATGTTTGGCCTTTGAGCATTGGTGTGGGGAGCAATGGGACCTGTGGGCTACTGGTATTCTCAACTAAACAAATGGTGCTAAGTTTACTCTAACACTATTTTTGTCCATCTTTTGTTATGGAATATAATATAGACATCTTGGGTTTGATTTTGTAAATGTTTATATATCGGTCTGCCTTAAATTGGTAAGTTTCACAAAATCAGCAAACCCATTTCTCAAGCTGAGAGTTACTGCATTTTCTCAAAAAATATTTCAGCTGGAAGTAGCTTCAAATATAGTATTCTACCTTTATTTTTTAATGCTTGTTTAGTAATTGTAGTAATGGTAGCATAAATAGACAATTAACTGTAATCTAGATGATTTAGACTGTTTGCAATTAGATTTTTCCAAGATCTAAAAAAGATTCAGTAGAAGTCTGAAATTTCCCGTTTCTTTTGTCCTGCTCATTCTGAACAAGGGTGTTTCACTTCTCAACTCCTAGTAAAGGGTGTTTTAACTCTCAACTTTGTTACAGTCTTGTGATAAATGTTAAGGCCTTTCCTTGGAGGAAGTCATCAGGACCTGAGTTGCTGGTTATGAGTGCAGTAGATTAATGTAGACTTAAATATTTGCAGGCAAGCAATGGACCTGCCTAATACATCATTAAATACTATGAAGATATCTTGGTGTATTTTGCAGAACATGTTTCTATTGTAGTCTCCTCATTTTACAGTTTTGGACATTAAGAGTAGCAGTTTGCCAGGTATTGTCCAACAGCTTAATAGGATAGCTGGAATATGGCTTATTTTTCAGGTTTCCATAATTCAAAGAATTCCCATACTTCAGCATCCTTCAAAAGTATGTTTCTGCATAGAAAGCAATAATTGCATTGGAACAATTTGTACAAATACCATTCAGCACAATGAAGCAACTTGCATCGCAAATATTTTACCAGTCATTTCCAAAATGTTTTGCATAGTGCTGTAAAATACTTATTTAATTCATGAATAATTGTTTATTACAATATATCATTTTATTTAAATTTACATAATCTGTTACTTCTCTTCCTTTAGGTCACTGTGGGAAAACTTTTGCCATTTTGGAAAGGTTTTTGAATCATAGCTCTCCCAGAACACCTTGGTTAGTCATAGTGGATGATGATACGCTGATAAGGTATGCGTTGCAATATATCGGGAATTGCTGCTGTTTATGTCAATAGGAGTTCTAACAATATTCATTTCTTCTTTTATTTTTAAGACATACAGCTATTTTATTAATGTAGAGTTATATTCCTTCAAGGAAAAAAATTGTCACTTTCCTTCAGCATTCCTTGACTGATATTAAAAACAACATAATCTTGTAACTTGATTAAAACTATGCGTATCAGTGTTGTTATGTAATCATGTAGTCTGAATATGATTACAAATTGTCACGCGTTGTGATTCTTCAGTGTAGGCATGTCTGAGCTGATTGGGTTTAGTCATTTGCTAATACGCTTTCTAAGATGTATTCCTCACATAAATGTGCCAGAAGAAATGTTCTGTAAGCTGGGGTCAGTGGTCAAAGCCACCCAGACTGGTGTCCAGGGGCTGCCTTTGTTAGAAAATTAGATCCTGTTCACATGAAAACCGACACTGCAGTATAAGCAGAATAAGGTACGGTGATCAACCAGCAGGATCACATGGTCATGAACATGAGAATAAGTGGTTCAAGATAATACTTTACATTAAATGACGTGACAGAACAAGAATTTGGAAGAGGTTATAACTGTAGCTAAAGCAATATTCTGATAACTAAATCTTCCTTTTTTGGTTTTCAGTTCCTGGGGAGAAAAGATAATTTGCAAAGATCTTGCCATTGTTTGAAATAAATAATTTCATGTTTTCTCTGAGATGAGACTCAGTTTTGTTGAGAAAATTAGATTGCTTCTTCAGAAAAATATTTTTAGCCAATTGATTAATCATTTGACGAAATTCAGCAATCATATCTCATAGTAAATAACCCATCATGAATTTTTGTGTAAAAGTTTGTATCTCTGTTTTTTGTAGAATTTCTCAATTTCTCCTGTCATTTTTGTGCCATTTACTAGAGTGCCACTTAGCCTAGCAATGTCTGTTTCAAAATGAATGTCTGCATGATTTAATTTTTTTTTTTAATGGATTTTCATATTATAGTATCTTCAGGCTCCGAAAATTGCTCAGCTGCTATGACCCAAATGAACCAGTATTTCTTGGAGAGCGTTACGGTTACGGCTTGGGAACAGGAGGATATAGTTATATCACTGGCGGCGGAGGGTAATTTATTTAAACTCCTACTGAGATCTGCATCAGTCCCTGCTTTGAATGCAAATGTTTTGAGCTGTAACACAAATCAGTTGCAGCAGAAACAGTGAAGTTTCATAATACAATTAAAATGTAATGATGCTCAAAGACCCAAACATCCTAACTAATAAGAGTTGTGCTGCCCATTGGGAAGAGATTTGTAGAGCAAAACGGTTGGTGCTGAGGATCGTGCATATTTCAGAAGGGGTCATTTCAGCTTGACTGGTGCTGTGAACTGAGTGTGTATTATCAGTTATCAGTGCCACATGTTCTCCTGATACACATCACACAGCCTTGTTTCACCTGATAGGATTCATTCCGCATACTCAGAGACCATCTTACAATGTGATTCGAAGTAGGAAGCAGAGACAATTGGGATAGGAGCTTAAAAAAAATACACTTGTAATCTGAACTGTTGTGGAGTTTGCAGGAGAACCCAAAGCAGCACACCTAGGGATACAAATTGCTGCAATGAGAATATTCTTTCCTGTTCTCTTTCTTTGTCCAAGCATGGAGAAAAATGATAGTGATTCTCCTTCTGGTTTTGAACTTCATGTGATGATTTATGGAGAGGTGGCTGAGCAAGGATTTTGATGTTGATGTCCTGGAAAATAGTTCCTCATAGAAAGAGATCACTGTGGATTGTTCTCATGCAGGAGACACAGGGGTCCTTGTGATCATATGCAAGATTTGGCTTAAATGAACATGTATGTATATGAACTTTCAGGTTGGGTCATATTGCAGTAAGAACAGTCTTAAGAATCTGATCTGTCCATCTTGTGTGTCTAAAGCAAGTAGTGTGGACATCTAAATTTCCTTAGCATTTTTGCCTGTAAAAAGTAATGGCTATAACAACTTACTAGATTCTTATCCATCCATGAGTAAGTAAAAATCAATTGACTGGCCTTCTCATTATTTTGCATAGTTGCATACAATCTTACTTAAGGTAAGGTCAGTCTTTTTGCCTTAGCATTCAGTATTTGTAGTTTTGCCATGTCCCAGCATCAAGCAAAGGATTGTCATATAGTGAATGAACTCATGAAGCCATGCAGAGATTTCAGAGTGTGAATCTTTTTAGTGTGACTTGTAGTTGCTAGAGTACCCTATATTCTGATCAGACTGGGTGGATGAAGTAACTTCAGAAAAGGCAGATAGGGCATACTAGACAAGAGTATATTCCCTCAGCTGTTGAATTTAAGACATCGTCATTTTTCTGGTCTATTGAAGGCTTATTTTAGTGATAATGATCCAGGCTCTGGTTGATATTTAGATGAGCAAGAAAGTTAGGATGAACAGAAGAGCCTTGCAATGGCTTCAGGGAACATTTTTCACTTACGGAGAGAACTCTATAACCAAGGATTCAAGGAATGACAGTTCAGGTTTAGAGTTCTTTTCATTTAATTGCTACATGATAACTAACTGGACAGTACATTTGAGTAAGACAGAGGAGAATATCCCTTTGAAGCCCTGGCCAAATTTAGGAGGAATTACCAGCTGCGGTAAAAATGGTAGCTAGCTAAGTAATTGTTGGAATAACAACAATTGGCATAATTGGTATAATTAATTTTTGTTACATAAAGTAATTATCTTTCAGAAAATGCCTCTTGCACTACTTGTCAGTACTGACTTCTGAAATTTTGAAATTTCAGATATGTTGTACCAGAGGGCTACATTTTGTCTTGCAGTTTTACATCATTTAGCAATATTTATTAATTACAGTCATTTGGCTTCTCTAGTAGTTGTTGCCTTATGTTTTATCTGCTTTTTTTTATTCAGGATGGTTTTCAGCAGAACAGCTGTTCAGAAACTACTTGCTAGTAAATGCCGGTGTTACAGTATGGATGCGCCTGATGATATGGTCCTTGGGATGTGTTTCAGTGGCTTAGGAATCCCTATAACACATAGTCCACTTTTCCATCAGGTCAGAGTGTTATTTTTACTAGTATTTAACACATACGTCATTCATTTTAAGTACACACATGAAACAGGACTCATAAATATTGCAAACTCATAAATATTGCAAACTCAATCAATGTGTAATAACAAGAACCAAGATGCTGCTGCTATACCTTATTTCTCTCCAGAACAAGTCTGATCAAGCAAATAAGAATATTCTCAAAGCATGGATTACTACAATGCTTTAATAGTTTATAAGATATTTCAGTTACCCTGTGACTACATTTTGCAGTCAGAGGTGGGAGCTTTGAAAAGCAAACAGAATTAGGAATGACATGCCTTGAATACTTGTGAAATGTCCTCTAAGAAAGTAGAAAAAACCCCCACATCACAGTACTTTTTTCTTCAGGTAATGGAGGACTGACTGAAATTTTTCAGTAAATTTGTCTTCTATACTTATCCTCCAATTTTTCTATTGGTTTAGTGTTTACTATTCTGAAATATCTCATTAGTGAAGGTATAAAATGTGAAAGTACTACCAGAACTGTTTCCTCTGTGGTGGATTATGAAGAATGGTATAAATATGATAAATTGCCCTGTGCTAGAACAAGGGAAAAAAAGGCCACAAACCATAATTTTCTTGTGATTATATTCTCCAGTTTGGGAGAAGTGGGTTGGAATGGATTTGAATCTTGTTTCTGTCTTCCAGAATATTTAGCAATGTAACTGTAGTGTCACAGTGGAAAACACAACACGTGAGTCCCAGAGAGATTTGCTGCCTCGTAAACCAAATAAACACTTTACCTTCCTCCCGTGGCATTAAAGAGAAGAAGCACTTAGGACTTTTCCCAAACAGTGCACAACTTTTTTAAAAATACGCATTTAAATCAGTATAGTGTTTGATGTTTTTCAGGTATTAATCTAGTTTAAAAGCTGGGAAGACCTGTGTAGCTGATATGAACTGAGAGTAAGATAACAGGCTACTTGAAAATTAGTAAATTGCCATGTAATTCAAAGCAGCTGTCAGTGAGGGAAAAGTTTGCTATTTGAATTATCGTTTTTTCTTATATTAAGATTTTCTTGCTGATTACATTTACTATTTAGAGAAATGGGAAGACTGAGAATGCACTATTCAATATTTTAATTCCTTGTCCTTGTAAAAAAATTATACCCGTTTAATTTCCTGTTTTGTTTATTATCACTTACTCCTTTCAGTATAGAAAAAAAAGCAAGTAATCCATCTTAAAAAATCAACAGAATTTATTCAATAATTTGTGCTTGCACAGGTGTGTTTTTAAAACAAAAACACCTAATTAAAGGAGAGTCGGAAAGAACAGAACACATTTTACAGACTTGTAGGAATGGCCCTTACACAACAAAACAAAGGAGTTCCTTGTAATCCTTAATGGTGTGCATCTGATCACTTTGAAAAGTGAAATCCTAGGAGTTTGATTTTCCAGACAGAAAATTATACTTGAATTGCAATTCATCTTTACTGTTGCTTAGAACAAATTCTAATTTAACCTACCTTGAACAGAAGTTAACCCTGGGGGGATGACCACTGAATAAAAATTGAGCATGCTTGTTTTACGAATTCGAGTATTATGCAAAAAATATTTTAAAAATGAGAAAACCAAAACTGGATTTTCTGTCAACCAGAAAATTATTTTTTAAAGAATTGACTGAAATATTACGATGTACAATGTTCCTTAAAGTACAAGAATCCAAAATTGTACTGAGTGTATATTATGAAACAGGAGCAAAGATACCTTTATCCTTAGAGTGTCTGTGATGTAACAGTGTTTGCTCTTTCATAATGGTTTCCTATTTGCTACATGCTAAGGTAGGCACGTGTTCTGTAACCTGTTCCAGAGGCTTCTGACATGATGAAGCTCTTTAAGGTAACAGGAATCTTCCCACGATTTAAGACCAAATCCCAGGATTATGGTCTTAAAATATAAAATCTGGGCAACAGCAGTGTATTTGGCACTTTTAAAATACCAAATTCTAGCACAGAAAAAAAAAACACCCAAAAAAACCCAACAACCGAAAGATTACAATCATTGATTCCACAAAATATAAGGAAGAAGAAAGTCAGGGAATTTATATCTTAAGGTCAACCACCTGTAAAGTAGTATGATTCTCAGAGAGCAATGTAATAAATACAGTGGTTATCAGAGCAGATCTCGTTCTTTCAAGACTGTCAGAACACCAACATTTTGTCTATAGCCCAATAAAAAGCTGACTGAATTTCAAACAGCAAAAAACTTTGGTCTCAGATATGTAAAACCTGTCTCTATCCAAAGTAAATTGCAGTAAATTCTTCAGGTTTTGGAACCAAAATATTCATCAAAGTTTTTTCAACTGCCTTGAGGGAGATAAGCTGCCTCTTGATTTCTCCAATGTATTTTTTAAAAAATAAGCACTCTGTGGTTTAAATATAAAAATTATATATATATTCAGATTTCTTAATGTCAAATTCTGACGCCTAATTTTATGACTGGAGTGTGTACGGAACTGCATGAAGAGCGCAGCATCTAGAATTCATTAGTACCGCCATAAGTAGGTGAAGTGTGCGGTATTAAATCAGTTACTAGCTCAGGCATCAAATCAGTGTTCCGGTTATCCAAATCACTCAATTTTCTTCATATGTTTTACATCTAGAAGAAACCCACATGTGTGCCTTTCATGCATTTCTCTTTGCAAAAACTCTATTTACAACGGCAAAATCTAGTTATTTTACCTGGGACCAATACAGGTGAGGCTTTTTTATATAACGATGCACTTACATGCCATTAAGCTGTCAAAGGAAATGAAAGATGCTTGGTGCATTAAGAAGTCAGCTGCATCGTGTGGCTGTGTCGTAATTCTGTCTCTCTTGATATAACCTGATCAGGAATAACAATGCAGTTTTCCAGCGCCACAATATTTCCTGTGTTTGGTAACTTTTCCCCATCATAAAACTTCCTATGTTTCGGCTGCTTATGGACTTAGGATCCTACAATCACACTGGCAGTGCTTGCAACTCTCATTAAGAGGAGGAGGAAGAGAATATTACTTAAAATAATTTTGTCATTAACAAGCCAAACCTGTATATTTTAAAAGATGCAGTACAAACTACGCTGTTTACCACTTGCTTTCATAGATGGTGACCATTTAACCTTGAGAAATAGGACATATTTAATATCAATGTACTTCGTAGTATGATGACTGCAGCACGAGTTGAAGATCTAAACCAATCCCTATCAGTTGATTTAACAGCATGATGTAAAAAGCCCTTTGTTGTCATCTTGTATATTTTGTCAATGCCACGTTGCTTTGTTACAATACAGAGGTCAGTGAAGGGTGATACTTTCTTGTTCTAAAATTATTCTTCATCACTGAGTACTAGTGCTTTTGGTTTATTCTTCCATCTTAGGCACGGCCAATGGACTACCCAAAAGGCTACCTTGCTCACCAAATTCCAGTATCATTTCACAAGCATTGGAATATTGATCCAGTGAAGGTATATTTCACATGGCTGGCACCAAACACTGAAGAGTCACTTAATGGAAAGAAAGTTGGATATAACAGGGAAGATTTATAAGCAGTAGAAGAATTTAAGTGTTGATTAATGTACTGCAGATGAGAGACAGTCACTACTGTGATTTTTGTGTTTTCATGTTCATCTGTTCATGACGTAGAAGACAGTGTTTTGTTCCTGCTTGTTTCATTCATTCCTTCAGAGCAATGGAAGAAGGCACCTAATTGACTTTTGGATTCTTTGTTACACTTGGTTTCTTTCTAAAATGTTTTGGGGCTTTGTACACCAATGAACTCGACACACATTTAAAATGTCTCATACAACTCCATCTTTGTTCTGGTTCCGTCTTCGAGTCAGACAGCATCAATTTACATCTCCTTCCTTTGCTCTCTCAAAAGCCGAAGTGAGGTATTTGGGGGCCTAATACGGGACGTGTGTTGAACATCTGTTGAACATCATCTCTCACTGACCTTCAGAAAACAGTTCTCTAAACTGTTCTGGAACAGGTTCTTGGTAAGTCAGAGAGGAGATGTGACTTTGTTTCTGTGCCCAGGAGCTAGATTGATTGAAGTCTATGTTCCTTTAGACTCCTTTCAGATAGAAATATTTTAGTTACCTGGGATAGATGGACCAAACATGAACCACAGTTGTACCTTTTAAGTTTATTAGCACTTGTGAGGAATGTCACGTTCAAAATCGGAAGAAAAAGGTTAAGGACAGGGATTTCTTAAGTGGCCACGGGAGGTCACTGTGGCTCCTTTAGAAACCTAAGTCGCTGTGTATCTATTTGGCAAGTATAAATGTGACTCTTAAGGGGTTTTGCAGAACTAACACTTCAGTATTTCTGATGTGTGCATTTCAATAGTATCTGGATGCCAGCTTTAATATTTTGTAGTATTCCTAATTTATATCATCAAGATATAAGTAATTTTATGCATACAACATGTAAAGAGTGATTCATATTTAAAATGTTCTTGGTTTTTTTTTCTTTGAGTAATTCAGTTTTGTAAAAATGTTTGTACAAAAACTGGCTTTAGTATGTTCTAAACTAATTTTTATACTGTAAAACAGCTCCTTTTAAGATGAGAGTATATGGCACTTGTATGCTGTTCTTTAACTTTGCTTGCTATATTGTAACCAAATACAGGGTCTTAAAGCCATACTGCTGAAGTAATTTCTGTTTTGTTTTCTTTTAGTAGGTTAAAAATTGATTCCACTCCAAAGTAATGCAATACTTGCTCTTAAGTTGAAGTAGGGGAGACACTGATTCCTGTTTCAGTAGTTACTGAAGCTGTATAAACACTTGTTTGTGAATGTAGCTTGTGGAATTTTAAGCATTTGAATAGCAAGCACATAATCATAATAGATTCAAATTCTGATTAAACAGGAGCAATCTGTGTTATGTCTTTTTTCTTCCCACTATCAGTGCCTTAAACAGTAGACATTTTACTGATACCATAACTGTGTTCTCCAGTACCATGGGTGAATTGTTAATTATGTTTACTGTTTAGAACTGTGAGAGCTGAAAGCTGAATAAAAGCATTCCTCTCTAACCTTTTGTGCCTTTGTCCTCTTTGCAAGCCGAGCACAGAATTATTTAAGCACCCGTATCGTAATTTTATCACCTGAATATTATTCTATGGTCAGTTGTGCTAAAAGGCAGCTTAAACACTTTTTTTTTTTTTCATATTCTGTCCTGACATGCTTCCCAGATTAGGTTAAGTTTCAAGTCTCTAGTTCTGTGCAAATGAAAAATGCTTTTGCAAAGGGCACCTCATGTGACCGGGAACCTTGGTGCTATCACAAAACACACGTCGCTATCAAATTCCCCAAAGGTCTTGCAATGTAGTCCAATCACTTCCAACTTCAGACTGGTGATGTTTCACATCTCCTTGGGCCCCGTGGAGGCAGAATAGGTTAGGCAAAGACGATTAGGTTTGGATCCACGCTGTGTTGCACCTGTAGGCTTCTGTCTTCTTTAGAGTTTAGGAGCCATTGACTCATTCATTGCTTGCTTACTCAGGCTTCTGGTCTGACAAATGTAATAGCAGCTGTCTTGAAGTCTTAATAGTCTTAAAGTCCATCTTTTCTATTGCCAGTAGGTATGGGTTTTACTGCAAGGATTCTGAAGGTTTTAGTAAGCACTAGACTTCTGATTCCCGCCTTCATAGTTTTGAAAGCAATGAAGTGGTAATTTACTCAAGTATTCTGCCCCCAAAACTCTGACTTTTGAGACATAACTACTGATATGCAACCCTAGCAGCAGCATGGAAAAAGTTACCTTTTATTCCATGAATTAAAAAATTTTAAATGTTTTTTTTCAAGCAGAGGATCCCAAAGAGTTTCTGAAAACAAGAGCTGAAGCCTTCTATATTAAATTTAGTTTTACAAAACTCATCAAGGCTGTTACTTTCTGAAACCTAAAGACAAAATTTTACCTTACTGAGCCTGAACAGTACTAAAGTTTCTAATGAAAATCAAGGGGATTATAAATGGTGCAATGTTAAAGCAAAGCAAGAGAAGGGGAATTCACAACTCACTTTTGTAACGGGCAGATTAAAACAGGACTGCAAAGTTGATTGACTGCTTGAAATTCCCTTTTCTGGGACATTCCAGAGTTGTGGGGTGAAAAATAAAATCTCGGAATAATTATTGACTCTTTGTGTTTATAACATAGAAAATTACGGTGCATTAAAGTACTTCTTTCATGGCATTCCCTTGATCATTTGGTTGGTTGGTTAATCTGCTTTCAGGAGCCAAAAGAAAATCTTGAAGTACTGGTGCCTTCAATACAGCAGGACATGTAAATGATGTGAGATGAAGTATTTGAGTCCCACATTTGATTACAAGTGAGAATGAGAGCTGTGAATGTCTTAAGACTACTAATCTCACCAATGTTCTGTTTGCAAACTCCCTTTAATTCCATTTGGAAACAAGTATGGCTCCATTCGTGGTGGATATTTCTGTGAGGTAGCCCTTCACACGGAGCAGGTGGGGAGCTCTGCTCCAGGCACGGAGCTTTCATTCAGGTCCTGTGGCCTCATTCTGCCCATTCAGGTAGCTCTGCTGAGAAGTTCTCAGTCTCTCTCTTGTCCCAACACATCAAGTTAATCATTTGTTCTTTTTCCAGTACGGCTTGTTCAGGGTGGAATTTTCCTGTTGATGGATTGTACCTTAACCAAAATGCTTCTGATGCTACAAATGCTACTTCTGGAATGACTTTACACTTAATAAATATTTTTTTTTAACCAAATAAAATGTGGCTAATCATCCCATAATTACTGAGTTATTACCTTCTTGTGAGGAGCTCTGAGAAGTGCAGTTTGAATGTCTGAGAAAGATTAAAAGTCCTATCAGATTAAGACATTATTTTGTTTTACAAGAGCTGGCTTACCTCTATCAAGGCTTGCCACTTGTTCACCTAAGTGATACAATTAACACTTCAACAAATGCTGGCTTTAGGAGCCTGTAATTGTCCTGCCAGTCTTTCAAAAACTGATAAAATATTTTTTGCCCTTCCAGCATCCTTGTAGGTGTTGCTCATAATGAGAGTTTTCATGATCTTTGTTAGCAATTCAGCCACTTCACTCCAAAAATCTTTCTCCTTTCTTGCATGAATATCCTGGAAGGTCAGATGGGTTATGGTGAAGAGCGTAGAGACTGTAGCAATGCAGAAAGTGAAGGAATGAGATGCTGAAGTGAAGCTGTAAAAATGTACTGAAGTCTGTGCAGCTTTTATATCCCCACATTACTGCATGCACCTCTATGCTCATAGATTTAGACGTTGACCTTCATGCTGGAGTCACTCTTGGGAAAGCTTTTGGAGAAGTTTCTGTCATGCTCATCACTGCTAGGACAAAGGATAGTGGACTTACCTTAACGGTGGACAACCTCATGGTGCAATTCATTGCTTTGGTTCCTCGTGCACAAATTTGCGTGTTATTTTCCAGCCTCTGCAGGCCTGGGACTCTGAGTGGGTGGGTTAACTCCCGCCTTTATGTCCACCTGCCCACAGGCAAGATCCCAAAATAGCTGAAATTATAGCTGGTTTTAGACAACACAGCTAATGCAGCTTATGGTTCCGTGGGCAAACATAATAAAAGCGCTGCTCATCTTGCAAAGCTCTATTCGCACAGCACAACTCTCCACACACTGAAAAAGGCAATGTTGTACCTCAGAAGAGTCCAACTGCAGGACTGAACAGATCCCAAGAAGCGATAATGTGGCCTGGCTTGTTGCAGTGTCATTGCCTGTGTCACACCTGAAAAGATCGTGAACAGAAACTCTAAATGCACTGAGATGAGTCAGATTCTTGCGGCCCCTTGAGTTGTTTGCTTGCCAACACTCATTTAAGTAAGAAATACCTTCCTTTCAGATTAAAAAGTGACATAGTCCAGAACTTGCTCGGTTTTATTTCCAAAGATGGTGAGAAACAATGCGAAGGGTGATCAGGATCTGTAAAAACATGGAGCAGGTTTTGCCTGGTGAAAGACTAAATAGGCTAGAAGTATCCATCTGAAAAGGCACAAGTGGGGCAGAAGTCCCATCTAATCATGAACAGGGAGCGATTTTTCACTCTCGCATAAGCCAGGTACTGGGAGGTCATCAGGGTCGTTTCAATGCAGGCAAGTGTGCTTCGGCAGCACTAAACTGAACTGCAGAACCTGACGGCACAGGCGGTGCAGAGGCTGGGCAGTGCCACAGGGCTTAAAAGGGGATTGTACAAAATCACAGCAGAAAGGTCCATAAATGGCTAATAAACACGATGGTTTTTAAGAAACATCTTCAAGCTAAGGCTCTGAACTAGTAATGCTGGACACTGGGCATGGACACTGGGCTAAATGGGCCTTTGCCCTGACTCTTCCAATGTCATACTGCTACACACAAAGTTTAGTTCAAAGGGAAGGCTTGGAGTCTTTGGTTTCTACCAATGGTGGTTATGAGTAGGGCTTCAAGTTCCTGTGCCGATAGAGTATCAGAGTATCCTATGGTTGTACAAGTCCAGAGCCACCTCAGAGATAATGGATCAAAATAGAGGAGCTGTGCTCTGCCTGGACAATGGCTGAGGACCCCAGACAAGAAAATGGTTGTCGAGGCTTGGACAGTGGGCCACGCATGCACGCAAACTTAAATGTTGGTTCACTGTAACTTATGGGCCAAGAAACATGCCAAAGACAAAGACACCAAAGTTTGGGCTCTGCAGGGCAGCCAGCCAAGTTCTTTTTGTTGAATGTGGTGTTAGGATCGCAGAGAAACTGAGCAACTTTTTGTATCAGGAAGTGAACGAGCTTTGGAGCTGATATGTCAACAGCATCAGACCCATCTGTCAGTAGTCTCCTTACCAGGAGGGCTGACCACTTTGGGAAGTGGTCTCAGCCATTTCTAAGCCCTGCATTACAAATAGGAGTTAGGG